ATACTTATTAATATAAATATTATTATTATTTTTCTATATAATTATATAATTATAGAAATAAAACATAAAACATAAAACATAAAACAAAAAAAATTGAGATTTGATATATAAATAAGACGTAACATAATTTATATTACATTTTCATTTATTTTAAAAGTAACATTATCTGTAGTACAATTAACACGTAAAAGTTGTTGGTACTTGTTTATTCGATCTAAATATGAGGTAGCCCATGCAACAACACACATATAGCATAAATGAAAAAAAATGTGGAGTAATAATAGGGATTAGGTATCCTTCTGCCAAGTCTAGTTTCACATAATGGTTACGGTTAACGTACCCAATTGCAAAACTTACATGTTGATACCATGATGGCGGAGTAGACCTAAGCGGTAAGTATGTTGAACAACTTGTAATGTCTATAACGTGTAAGATCACATTATACTTTGAAGCAATCAGGACACCAATTTCAGGCATGGTCATCCAATGTTCAATCGGGCACCTCGATCTGATTGAAAGAAGTTTAAAATATTGTAAACTACATTCCAATACTGACATCCAAATATGTTGAGGTATTATGTCTTGTATGCATCTAACTCTTCCATCAAGTTAAACCGAATTGTTGGCCATGCATCTTCATGAAGACCAAGGTGGACAACTATTGCTCGGAATCTACAATTTTCATTACCTCTGATCACATCATGTACCTGTCTGATGTAAGGGTGAAACGTTTATAGGAAATTGATTAATATATAGATGTGCATTATAATTATTGTTGAAAAAAGAACTATGTCTCGATGGTTCCTGATAGCTTGTTTCATTGAAGTCAACAAATGATGACGCGTTCGAACAACAACGTCTAAAGGGTCTTTCAACTGTAAAAGATGGATCAACATAAGTTGTAAAAGACGAATCAACATGAGGTTTTCTGAAAAGTTTATCCTCCAACGAGGGACGTGCACGAGTAGTCTTGTTAACAACTGGTTCAAGAACCCATGTTTTGATGCATTGGTTATGTCTTTTATATTCCTTAGAAAACTAAACTTACCAGATCTCGATTGTTTTTTAAATTCCTCGGTAAACATTTGCACTTTATCTTCACAACCAATATCATCATCTTGTAAAGATTGGCACGATGATAAATCAAGCTTCATCCAAAATACATTAATCGAATCAATTGGGATAGGATGCCCTTTGTTGGAAAATAGCATTTGTTCATGCGCACATGACAACCCATAACTTGTACCTAGTATACAATTACAATTTCCAGAGAATAAGCCAACAGATTGAGCATGTCGATATTCCTGGAGTGTTCTGTTTAGTGTATAAGGTGAATCTATTATTATGTATTTTTAATATGCTAAAAGCGTAAAGATTTAATACAAATTAATTCCTAGATATTCATGATGATTAAATAAAAAATATTTAGTGTTAAACTCATTTTGAAGATATTAACGAGACAGTTATAATGATATAATTTATAAAAACACGTATTTTTTAAATTAGTAGCTCTTTAATTTTCAATAATAACTATAACCTCTATTTTATAAAATTATATAGACATTTTCATAATTAAGAAATATTTTTTTAAATAGAATGAAATATAATATTATAATAAAAAGTAAAAACCAAAAACAATATTTGAGAAAGTTGATATGCTCCAAAGTCGAAACCAACAAAATTTATTTTAGTTTTTATTTTAGATGATGTATTTTAAAATATCTATTCTGTTGTTTAAAATGTGACATCTTTAATATTTAAGTAAGGACCGAGAGTCTTACCCGTTAAGTGAGAGCGATAACTCTTACCACGGTTAGCGCTTGTCGAGTAAAGAAATAATTCTAACCCTTCATACGATCAAAATCGGATTTGACTTGTCAATAATTGCCGTATTCCGATAATATTAGTTGTTGACATTTGGTTTTTTGTGTGTACTCAAAAACAGAAAAAGATGATGAGTGGTCTACCTGTTTTTTCTTTCTTACTCTCTAATATTCTTTTTTGCTTCTATTCTTCCCTGCTAAGTGGAAGTTTCAAAGCCAACCCACATCTATAAACTGTAAAACAAAATAAGAGTAATTAAATAAAGAAACGTAGTGTCTAGGGTTGGTCAGGAGGGTCTCTTAACGCCTTCTTGAAGGAGGATGAGGAGGAGGATAAGGAGGAGAAAATGATATCAGTTTTGGAAATGAAGTGGGGTGTGATAGTATGTAAACGATAATATAGAAAGGATAATATATATATATATATGTATATATATATATATGTATATATATACATATGTATATATATATGTATGTATATATATATGTATGTATATATATATGTATGTATGTATATATATATATGTATGTATATATATATGTATGTATATATATATGTATGTATATATATGTATGTATATATATATATGTATATATATATATGTATATGTATATACTAGTGGTGTACCCGTGCGATGCAGCGCGGCTGAATCACAATTCTAAAACATTAATTTGACTTTGAATCATGAGTTTGTGTGGTTATTTTACAAGTTAACTAAAAGATTTTTATATAGTAATTTGTAAGACTAATAATACAAAACATTATAAAAAAATTAATTTTTTATTTAAATTATTCTTATAACAGGTCGATTAGATAAAAAAGAAACAACAAAATGTTTGTGGTGTTATTTAACTCCATTCTTGTTAATATCACGAAAGAAAAAGCTGATAGACAACACACTTCTCTTTGAGTTTTTTCATACTCCAAATCCCTTTTGTATTTTAGGGTAAAAAATATAGTTAAAACTCAACAAATGTAATCAATTCAATAACATAAACATATCAAATCATCTAAAAATAACAAATTAAGCCTCATTTGAATCCAGTAATATCAAATGAAATACAACTTTAACCAGGTGGTTCTCCCTGTAAAACAAGGTCTCAAATCCACCATATCTCATACATTTGGATTATTTCATCATCGACACATGAAAAAATTGAACGCTCAAATTATATAATCAATGCAACATAGAAATATCAAATCATCTAAATTGAATAATTGAAGGCTAGTTTAAATCCAATAATATTAAATAAAGTACAGTTTCAACCGAGTGGTTCTTCTCATAGAACAATTGGATTATTCCTTCACCAGCAAATCAAAAAAAGTTCCAGACAAAATTATCAAAAATGCTCAGAGTAAATAACAGCTCCATTGATCATGAATTTTCAGAAGCAAAACTGTCTTAAAGTTGTGTATTCAATCATTACTGCAAAAATATTTCCAAATCTCGAACACAAACATGATCAAACCACATTTTAAATGAACTTATATTTCAGTTTTACTCAGATCGGTTCATATTAAGAAATTCAACCATTTTTATATCCTGTACTTCATTGATTGCTCTCAGAAGCGTGGATAAATAAATCAAGTCACTCCCGACAAAAACAAAGCAATAAAACACATATACTTACATATATACCTCATAAAAAAATTGAACCAAGGAAAAAAACTTAAGATGTGATGAGGCAGAGAATATGAAATTTAACCTATAATTGATAATATGTAGCCGTCGATTTGACACATAAATGACAATAAAAAAAGGTACAAAAAGGCTGAACTGCAACACTTAACAGCAATAGATCTGATTTAGCACGAGCATTGGGGCTTTCTTCTTCATCCAATTCGTTATTTCAGAGAAACCCGAGGTGCTACGTGCAGATTAAAACCCAAAAGGAAAACAAAAACTTTGATAGAATATCATTTCTAGTGGGGAAGTGAATCTGTGAGGCTATGATATGTAAGCAGGAGCATATGATTTGTCAAACAGAGTTCTAAATATGTAAGCAGGAGCATATGAGGAGGGGATATGAATTGCAACACCGTTCTAAATAAACAACCCAAAATGCCTTAAACAAAACAGAGTGGTCAAATGTAATATTTCATGAGTTGATAACATTTATTGATCTCACACCTAAAACACTAAAATTTTGAAAAATTCTACGTGTACCCATTCATGTATATATATATGTATATGTATATGTATATGTATATGTATATGTATATGTATATGTATATGTATATGTATATGTATATGTATATGTATATGCATGTGTGTGTGACACAAGTTGGATGACCTGGGAACGTGAATGTATCTGGTACCTAGAAAATTAATTCATCAGGAACATGGGGAAGCACTTCTCGAACAGTTTCAGCCATGGCAAACATGTTTGTTATGTCATCATCTGAAAGATGTGGAGTGAATCTCGTGAGGGAACCTTCAGCAACTCCTATGGTACTTGGCAAAGAAACATTTGAAGAAGATGTGATGGCTTGAGATGCATTTATTGGCCACAGATTCCACACAACATCATCAAAAGTAGTTTGAGCATAGGTCCTCACTATGACTGCAAGCTGCCTCATGACTCTACCAAGACCAAAAGATCTGATAGTTGTAGAAGTATTGGCTCCAAACCAACCTGTATCCGTTATTGGAGCCCTAGAACAGAGATCTCTTAAATAATCTTGTCAGGAACATCAATTTAAGATATTGATGAAGGTTGAAAGATTCAAGAAAGATACTGAACCAAGATAAACCTTTCACAACTGCAATGCATACAATATGCTCTCTTGAAGAGGGAATGAAACCTAACAATAACTATGTGAGCATGACAAACACACTTTGGACTAAATATTGGTCTCATCGAGTAGAACACAAAAGAATTAACATAAGAGTACGGTTTAATTGAAGCCTAAGCCTAAATCTGCCCCTGCTCACATCCCTTGTAAAAATAAGGATGCACGAAAGAGAGTAGTTACAAAGGACATTTAGGATAGAAGTAGAGTTTCCTAGAAAGTATAGATATGAACCTCCAATCACCATGCTCTGATGGATTCTGCATTTGGTTGGGAAAGAATCCTGAAGGCAGGATATGGCCAAGAGGATTTTGCCATTCAAGTGCAAAGCTTAACCAATGAGCAAGTTGTTCATCACTTTAAATATCTCCAGGATGAGGTACAACATTAACAAATAGGGGCTTTCGATAGGTGGAGCAGGAATAATTCTCACGTAGACCTTGGTCTAACCTACGTAATCCCATCAACATAAGCATTCTCAAGTCATAGTCAGTATCACAACTTTATCAACAAATGTGTGATTGTACCAAGATCTGAGGCATGAAAGATGAAAACGATGATTGCAGGTGAGCTTCTTAGCCTTGGTCAGTGATTCCTGTAATCCATTTAGCATGTAAGATTTTCCGCTCTATAGAAATGGGGTACAACTTTATACTTGAAAACAAAACAGACCTTAAAAGCTTACCCGAGAAATGGCACATTCGTCGTTATAGGATTTTATCTCCTCAGATGTTGCATTGATCCTTGGCCAAATTCTTCAATGGAATATTTTGTTCTTAACAAAACCAAGTACCTGATCAAAGGTTATTGGGAACTACCAAATCGATGTGCTACAATTAGAGAGAGGAGTCACTCCTTTTAATTGCAATCATCCGATGAGACTATAAAGCCATCTTAGAGAGTTGTATATAAGTAAATTGGCACCCATTGAAGAATAATGAACATGGGCATTGAATTACATAAATGCAATAGGTGCCGGTAACTAAAATTGACCTGAAGGAAGATGAAGCATGGGGATATTGTAGTAAGATTAACCGAGTCAAAGACCAAGTTCTTTTTACCCAAATACAACAGTTCCTCTATGTTGGCCACGAGCTTCCATAAGAATAACACCAGTGAGAAACTTGTTACTATAAAAGCCTGAATATGATATAACCATAGACAATTGCAAGTAACAGGTTCATCAAAACAAAGACTATCTAAAAACAATTAAGCAATATACATTTAGGAAAAAAGGGTCTTCTTTTTCCTTAGTGCAACTAGAAAAAGAAATTAGATGAAAGGTACTCATTTTAATATTTCAAAAACTAACCTCTCTCATGTTCTGACAACACATGGTAGTCGCAGAAAAAGAAATTAGATGAAACATAACGCAACAGTTGAACATCAAGGAACCAAATGCCGTTTGAAAACATGTTTTGATCTCTCATGTTCTGAAAACACATGGTAGTCGTGAAACCAAAAAAGATGATATTTAAGGATCTCCATGATCTATTTAACTTCTACAATAACTCAAATCTCACATAAAATACGATCAAAACCTAGAAGTTGATTATCAAATCATGATAACCAATTTATGTCGGACACAAGCTTTAATAACAGTAAAGAAGATTCAATAAAAAAGTTATAGAAGTCAAACTCATAAAATTACATTGATTTCTGAAGTTTTCGACACATAAATCATCGCTCATTTAAGAATAAAGATGACAAAGAATGAAACTTTTTTAACCGATAGAAGGAAAGACTTGCCTGTCTCTAGGAACTTCTGCTCCCTCGAAGTTTGACATCTTCTGTTTAAACATTACAAATCAAGAAGTTCAAAACAAAAAGATGTTCATTCATTTAATGGCTTCAAAATCAACAGTGAAGTTCAAAAACTTTTAGACCAATTCTATACGCTTCTACAAGATCCTACCTGTTCACCTCTTTTTTGTCTAGCGGTATAAATGATACAAGTATATATCATCATAATATTGTAAAAATAAGTCTTCTTGGTTCCAATATCTTCATATAAATCAAGGTGGTTCGGAAACATCTCTACCACCTCTTGATTTCTCATAACTATCCAACCAATATAACCAAACAACATTAATAACAGATATAAAAACAAGAAGACAAAGTATGTTATGACTATATCAACATTAAAATCAAATATAAAAAGCAAGAAGGCAGAGTATCAAACGTCCAATTGGTAATCAAGGCTTCAAATGGAAGCTCTAATAGTGGTTCCAAGCTTTAATGGAAGCATAAAAGTTGAGAACCCTAACACATTTTGTTTCTGTTTTTAAAAACAAACAGAGCCCTAATTAAAAAAATAATTGGAAGACGGACGATGAACAACCCTATGAGATGATATAATACTGGAAGAAGGAAGATAAAATGTTGATCCTCTCTCTCAGTGATTTGATGATAATCCCTTTTTATTTATACGTTGTATTTATGTTTCTATTTTTTCAGTTCCATCGATCATCACTTAGTCTGTTCAGTGATCGCTGAAGAACTTGTATTGTAAATCAATCAGAGACAACGTTACTTCAAGAAGACAACACTCACACCAAAGAACCTTCAGCAAATGTCGAAGACTAAAACTGAAGATTAGAGACTGGCAAGTACGTGATCTGAAGCGGTACTTAGTGATTACAAGCCTGTCTACAAATGTGTGAAGACTGCTCAAGCCTCAACGAATGCTGAAGAGACCTTCAGGTCATTCCAGCATTCAACGATCAAAGGAAGCTTGCTTAGCATGACTGTTGTTGTCTTGTCCTTATACACACAAAGGACAAACCCATACCCTTATGAAAGTTGGTACGGTACGGAGCTGACTAGTTGACTCTATTGTCCACCAACTTTAGGTAAGGATGTCTGCTCATGAATAGTGCTTTTTATACTATTCACTGTAGCAAAGGATAAGCGTTCCTCTTAAGGCTTGACACGCACTCTAACCCTACCATATTGCATTAAATGAACATTTAATGAATTGGGTATAAATAGAAGTGTTTCTTCTTCATGCAGAGTGCGCGCAACTCACTCTCTAAACCTAATTCTTACTTCAAGCATTTTCTAGCTTAAGTAAAGGATCCTCTCTTTACAACATTTCTTTTCTTGTATTGCTAAGAACTCGTGTGTAACCAAAGATTGTTTAGATTGGTTTTTATTACCTTATCTTTCCGCAAACAATCTTGTAAAATTTGTATTGATTTTCTTTATCAATATATATTTTAAATTTGAAAATATTGTTTTTGTATTCATCACCCCTTCTACAAACTGTTTTACTATTCTTGTAGACCCTCAAGGGACCAACAAGTGGTATTAGAGCAGTGCTTTCTTCTCTCTCTTTCTGTTTAGCTGTTTTCAGTATTAGTTTATCTCTTTTCTTAGATAACTTTACCGCTTACAAATGGCTTTACAAATTAAAAACACACACACACACAAGATAATGACTCTCTTGCCAAACCTCCCCGGTTTGTTCGTGACAATTTTAGTCTCTAGAAGAACCGGATGGCTCTCTTTCTTGAAGGTGTGGATCCTGAAATTCCATATTATATAGAAAATGGACCATATATTCCATTTGCTATTGCTCCGGCTGTTCCAGCAACAGCTACAACTGCCGCGATTCCTAAATGGCAGATTCCTAAGCTCCCACATCAATGGAGCGATGAAGACAAGAAGAAAATGGCTATAGACATGTTTGCTCGGTCTATAATAGCTATGTCTCTTCTTTATGAGATTTATCACTCAGTGATGAAACTCAAAATTTCTAAATCCATGTGGGACACACTTTGTGTCCAATATGAAGGAACCACTCAAGTTCCAGAGACTAGAAAGATCAATCTAGTAAGACAGTATGAAAGCTTTTCTGTGGAAAGTCTGAGACGCTGTCTGAAGTACATCAAAGATTTAACTGCCTTCTTATTGGTCTTAGGGCTGTCGACAAAGAATATTCTAATTCTAAAACTTTAACCAAGTTTCTAGAATGCCTTCTTGAGTCTTGGTACACCTTTTCCATGTGTCTCAAGATGTCCAATGACATGTCCACTCTTTCTCTTTTACTTTATACGGGATTCTGCTTAACCATGAACAATCTC